CTGAAACCTAAACGCACCGACGCGACGACCTTCAGTAGCGGCGGAGACGGCTTCCTTAAATTAATGTACGCCCGATATATATGCGTTGCGCGACAACGTCAGCGCGCGCTGGAAATTTCATTCCACATTCGACAAGAATGAAATTTCGAATGCAGATTAGTTTCTTGTGCAAGTGCGTCGCCGTGCCGCTCCGCCGCGCCGCGCGCCGATGGAGAAACCGCAAGAATTACAACCGCCATATAATGCCCCCGCATAGTAAAAACCATTTGCTCGTATTCGCACGCGTTTACGCCCTGTATATGACGTTGCTTTACCTACATAGATCGCATTAAGGCGGCGCGATACGCGCCAGTAATTTTTTTTCTATCGCGATTCTTGTAGCTCGGCACTTGTCCGGGAATAATTAAATTTCTGTGTAACAAGATTTTCGCGCGCGCAGCACCATTTTGCGTTTGTTAGCGTCAACTATCAACTGGTCTTACGAGACGCCGCGTAACTCGCTGAAAAGATAATCAAACGGAACCTGAATTCACCGTGACAAGATGTTCTTTTACCTCGAATTGCAACGGAGATGCATTCGGATTATGGACACATTTATCACGTGACTGCGGCATGGTTTAATTTCCAGCTATGTGCATCTAAAAGTTCCACCATTAGGAAGATTTGAATTTTATGCGTTTAAATGAACTCATTAGAAAGGAAACTTTGTGGAAACCGGAGAATTTTAGATTAAATTTGGAGTAGTTATATCATAAAATATTCATAGTATATATAATAATCTTATGCAATTTCCAGTGGCTTCCATTTGTTTCTAAAACCAGTCGCAAACATAATTTAAATAAATAAGTATTCGAAGTATAAGGATATAAGTATAAATATGCAAAGTTATTAAAAATATATATTCCAATTGCTATGGTATTAAAACGCTGCGTTAAATCCGTTCCACGTGCTAACGAGTGTACGCAACATACGATCAGAGTATGTAATAATTTTTTAAATTGTGCGGCATGGACGTATTTTTCGACCGCTCCCACTTTCAATTACGAATGTGGTAATAATCACGTATAGCTCGTTGGAAAGTATCACCGAAATGTTACAATGGCCTGGCTATAAATTACCCGAACTCAGGTGTACACGACTTGGGCTTAGCTCCGCGCGTCTGACTAATCACGGACTGTAACCACTGCGAGGTTACTCTAATACTTCAGAGATCCCCAATAATTTGCGATTGGTCGAACGTATTGTCCCTTCGTTGCGCGATCTATTACTCTCAATGCATTCTCGTGAAATTCTCGTTATTTATGTACGATACAATAAACGAGTCTCTTAAAAACCAAACTAATCAATTCTATTTTTTATAAATTTCTTTATTTTAATATCAGAGTGATTGGTTTACAATTTCATAAATTTTCTCTACTTTTTTATTTCATGAAGTTTATTCTGGATTCTGATAGGTTCATATAAAGAATGACGTAAGAAGCGTTCGAAGATATTGAAAATATCATTTTTGACCGTAATATGGTAATACGGCAACTTTTATTCGGGTCGTTTCTCACGTTTAGAATTTAAATGGATGTAAATAATAATGCAAGTATTTCGCTATTGCATGAAACCGACGGAGCTGAACGAAAATGGGGTGGGCGCGGGGTCGACAAAAGTGTTTCAACTGAAAATTTGCACAAAATGCACAAAGGCGCAACGTAAGACAAAGGGGCGCGTCTTCGTTCTCGGTTTCGAATTGTCGTCCCTAAACCCGTGTAAAACAATACGGCTCGTCTACCATGACGCGCGACTCTCCATTCGTCGAAGAAGAATTGTCTCATCGTGTACGTCTAATTACTCGATGGTATTGTTTACGCGGAGCTCGTCGTTCGTCGGCCGCCTTTTCGTGCCCGCGGTCTCTCTTGTTAGTCGAAATCCAAACTCGATATTACTCCGGCCTGTGTATCGAGTAAACGACGGAATCCGCTTTGAATAAAGTCACGTCGCCCGTGGTATATGGCGCAGCTTCCTCTCGCTTCACGGACGAGCGTACTGTAACCGCGCGGTATAAAATAGGGTAAGCCACGGTTGTCTCTATCGTCCGTATCGTAAGTATACCGACACCGACAACGATATTTCAATATAAATTATTATTCTGTAAAAGTGCTGCGGTTATTTTACTTTAGCGCTTATATATTACGATTTACAATCTTTTCCCGAGAGCGCTTTACGCATTATACAAATTTTGCGTTTACGACATTTTACTGGAACACGCGCTGGGAATTTTCATCACTTGCGCTGCGAGAGTACTGAGCACTGCGTGTGTTCACAATATGCCTGTGAGAGTTGCAAATTTCGCGAGAAAAAGAGAGAGAGAGAGAGAGAGAGAGAGAGAGAGAGAGAGAGAGAAAGTGAGAAAGTGCTATTTCGCCAACTTTGTACAACACCGATGTCAAGTTTTATCGCCTCGCCTTTTCACTCATCACATTTGAAACTTGTTGGGTAAGGCCGCGCGCTGCTATTGCTCATTGCACTCGAGTGGAAAAGCTCGCCGAGTCTTGAACTTGATTCCGCTTCTTGTCGCGCGCGGGCACGCGTCCACATGATGGATACACTTCGCTCGTATTGCGCGCATCCGGCCGGGGGGAACGATAAATGTACCTAACTTCCACCGTTTTCCGTCGCGGAGTTGTCGTGGGCAAACTTTCGCGCGACGATGACTGCTCTTTCGAGCGCAACAGCACGGATATTCGGACTTCGCGTTAGGATCTTTGCCTCCCGGAGAGACAATCAAGCATTTCCGTATAATGCTTTATTTAATCTTTGCATTTGCAAGTAGAAGAGGATGAGTAAAATCTTGCAGAGATTTTAACGTATTGTTTTATACCGTTATAATTAGAAGCACAAAAATTGTTTAAGTTACAGAACGAAATCAATATAATATATTTAATTATCATTATTAATTATCAAATTTGTTTGGAAATAATGTAGTAACGTAATAAGTATATTGCGCAATATGAAAATTGCGTTGTAATTTTATATAGAAAATTATATGAGAACTGCTTATAAATAACACCGCGCATTTACGCCGTATGTTTTACATATGCGTTTCTACAGCCTGGTTCATATTTTGATACAGTAACGTTACTAATTTCATCCTGAAAATGAAAGGAGATGGATGAACGTTATCGTCGTTATTATATATAATAACTGCAAGAAGATCGATATGAGTGACACATCAATTTAATATTATGATTCGAAGTGTCTAACAAGTCAGGTAGCTGCGTTGCGCCTCGTAATGGAGTTATTCGTGTGCTGCTGCACAAGGGAAACTTGCCTGATTGGCGTTTAACGCCTGCAACGCGCTAACCAGGTCGCCAAAGGCGATGTTATTGCCGTGATAAATTTTTTTTACAAGCTCATATCTTAATTTTCAGTTTTTGCTTCACTGCGAGGTGTGGCAATTTATTTCGCCATCAACTCTACGCAACTTACACGTTACTGAAATTATTCGTGAAAATTCGCTTATTTTTCCTAATAATATCAAATAAAATTTATATTAAAAAGAGCTTTATTGAAAAAATTGTAATATTTATCTCTCACAACGATTATATCGAAAAGAATTTTTTGTATATCGTTAAATTTTTCTATCACGCCCGTTTAGAAAAAAAACAATAAATTATAATAAGATTGACTCACTTCTTGCACGTGTTTGCGACATATACCAAAAGATCTCATATTTTTGTGGTTTGTGCAATATATCTTTCTTGATCTTTGATGTAATATATACACGTAAATAAACGGGCTACCGTTATCCCCAATATAACCAGAGGAAAAACGGGTGCCGGGTTTTGATCTGTATACGCAAAGTCTAGATGAAAAGATAAGGAATATCCCCGTGGAATATCTTACCATCACAGACGCTGACACGACTTTAATGTTTCCACCAGTAATATATTCTCCCACGCCTCACGTCTACTTTATTATTTTTATTTTCGTCCCAGACGTGCGCGGAACGTCCAAGCCAATAAAGCAGGGGACCGTTGGTACGCGATTCGAGGGGATTAATGCTCAGAATCTGTTGATTATTTGCATATCGATGATCAAATTGTTTTAGCCTGCATTTCTTAGTACGTGATTTGTGATAAAATTGATCGATGATAAATGACAGTTATAAAGGTATTTCCGTAAATGCAATTGTGTGTGTGCAGATCGTATTTGTTATTCTATAACTTTTGGTTTTCCTTTGTAGTTGCGCTTTATTTCCAATCATTGAATACAAAAACACGATAGATTTATTTAATTGCATTCATCAATAATTTCTACATAAATCATCAAAAGGATACGCGGATAAATTGTACCTGTAATTAACTGACATGACGTGTTTAATTGCTCGTGATTCTCGTTAAATATCATTTTTGTCCATGCAATGTATTCAATATTTTATTAATTAATAATAATGCAAGAAAATTGTAAATCTTTATTCAAAGATGGCAATCCTTCTATAAATTACGACGTAAAGAATGATCGTAAAAAAGCTATTATTTAAAGAGAGAAAACATAGTACATAAATTAAAGAATACAAAAATGTGTGTGAAATTGAAGTTGAATATTATATTGCAGACGAAATTATAAGCTATACATCGATAGAAAATTACCGAGAAGCAGCTATAAATGAAAAGAGAGAATAATAATCGAACGAACATATGTTTTGACGAGTTGAACGAACCGAAGACAAAGGGTTAGCCCCCTCCCCCTGAGACAGGTGGACTGTAGCGCGAATTTGAAGATAGACAGTCATTGTCTCACCGGTCGACAAGAACGACTCGCATTTCGCTTTATCGTAATTTATGTACTCGATTATTATTGCTGTTAAATACATATACTTAAGAGAACCATGAATCACATCGTGACAAATTTCACTTCGAATCGAAGAACACTACCTTTCAAACTTACCCACAATATTTAAAAAATGATTTGTTTCGGGACACATATTATATAATATTTTTATGTTCCAGCTGGCTCCATGATTGTGGCAAAATGGTGGATTGGCAAAAGACACTTCTAATGGTGTTATTGGCGCTCCTGATCTATCCAAATGATATTTTTGGTAAGTACCAAATCTTCATCGTTCCGCAGATTACACGCAAATGCAAATGTAGCCAGAGAGATTTCGATTAATCCGTATCAATTATAAGGTGCCTCCTTGAGATAGTAATATTATAGATGGAGACCGCGGATTGTGAAGTGATTTCGGAAAAAAAAAACAAGATTAATTTAGCGAAATCCCTCAACGGATCCCCGGTTGATCCCGGCGATATTAGAATCCCAATAAGAATAGATACCTATCGTGTCACGCGAACGTGCGCGCGGCGCGTTTGCAGATTTCGAGAGGGGCCGCCGAACCCGATGAATACGAGAACCATGAGATATATATCGCGCTATGTACGGGCAATTTTGCAACTAAGCCGCCCGACTGGTGCGCGACCACCTGTAAATACAATACCCGGAACTAATCCGCTTTTGAAACGCACACTTGCACGGCACGACATACGGCGATATTGGCCTTACGACCTTCCACTCTCCAGTGAGATATTACTTTTTCTGAATGCCAACGCGCGTGCTCCGGCTAAAGCGACCCATTCGCAGTTCCGTTAAAACACGCATATTATCGCTCATTCCACTTTACCGTCCGCGCGTATAAATAAAATCGTACATCTATCATACAATATTCAAAGCAAAAAATATATATCTATATATATACGTGTAATTGTAATATATTCAGATGAAAAAATTTTACGTGAAATGGATCAATCTGTTCATAGCGCGGATTTTGAAAGAGCTCTAATTACGGCAATATTTAATACTAGAAGTTAAAAGGTTTCGCAGATTAAGCTTAACGATGTAAATAGGTTTTCAGTTCATTTCAAGTGGAATTTATTTCAAAAACGGAAATAAAATGATTTTAATGGAAATGCAGACAGGTTTTAATGCTTATATGTTTAAATAGCGATAATAGTAGCTAATTAATAAACCGATAAATCGAGATTATTTCGGGTATCGTATTAATCATCTATTAATTTCTTCATTATTACACATATTAATTATTTATTTTATAAACACACACACACACACACACACACATCACATACATTAATAAGCTTTGAATCACAAATGACTATAAAGGAAAAAAGTTTACTCACAAACATTAATAAGCTTTGAATCACAAATGACTGTAAAGGAAAAAAATTTCAATAAGTAAGAATAAGATAAAAAAGTTCAATGAGGAAAATAAAATTGTACAAAAGTGAACATGAATATTTAGCAGCCCTTGTCGATGCATAAAGTCGAATATAATTTATCTTTTGTCTCGAATAACTACATCTAGTAAAAAGCTAAATAGACTACTGTTCAAACGTACAAGCGAATGTCCGCGAGAGGAAATAAAAGATTACGATTTTAATAAAGACTGCAGATACCGTGAGAGACGAGCGACGACGGAAAGAGAAAAGAAAGGCGGGAGCTTGGGGCGGACCGTGAAGAAAGATAGGTAGATATTATAGTTTGACGTAGACAAGAAAATTTCGCAAACTATCAAGGTTTTATCGCTTCCTCCAGTCGCGCATTCGCATGATAATTTCCACCGAGGCGAAACGTCTTCATAACGGGTGAATGGCATTTGATTACTGACGTCACTCAATTTCAGCCGACCTCGCCCCGCGTACTCAGCAAGTAAATAAGATTTCCTAGAGGAAAACTAGCGCGCGCCGGGATATTCTTTGCGGATCCATTTCTCGCAAACAGGCAAGCGCCGTGACACCTGCACCCAATACGCATTCCCTTAACGACTGGCATTCTTCCGTTCTATCGTAAATTGCCCAATTTGCATCGTGATCTCGACGAATTGTCGCGGGAATTTACTTTAATCCATCAGATTCCGTTTAACTCTTTTCAAGTTCTCTCCCGTCTAAAAATGTATGTTATATGTATAAATCTTTATTGGTCTTAACGCTTAAAATAAAATATGTGTGAAAATTGTGTTATTTTTCATTCCATTTTCAATAACTGCAACCGATTTTGTGAATTTTAGATGATCAAATAGAAACCGCTTAAGAAACTTTTTCATATTTTTATAAGATAGAATTAATAATATAATTATAATGACGTGATAACATAATTATATCGGTCCAATTTTATTTATTATTATAGAATTAATAACTTATCATTGGACAGAAAATAATAATTTATTCTATTAATTTCATTTTTAATAGATAATAAATAATACAAAAAGTTTCTAAAATTTATTAGACGTTTATTATTCTCATTTATTCTGTATTTATTATAGAAGGAAAAAGTAGATATTAAAAATAGATTCGATACTAACTATAAAAAACCGATATATAAATCATGATTATAAAGTCTGCTGACGTATCAATACGAATAAAAAAGTAATTCTATTAGAACAACTAAAAATATCCAACATTTCAATAGTCATAAATAGTCCAGATGAGCTATCGCGGTTTCTTTTGGATCTATTAGAATCAATCTTTTCTTAGCAACAAGTTTAAAAAAACGTATCTTTTAGAATACCTAATTTAAAAAGACAGTATATATTCCCTATATGTTCATAGAGATTATACCTAAATAAGGTTATACGTAAATAATTCTTGATACACTGGAAGGAGAAAGATTAGGTTACCTTAATACATATTTGTGATTTAGAGAACATTCTCCACTTTTGTTCCTTTTTAAAAATACGTACCTACATTATTATGTATAATGTGTATGTGTCACTTTGTTCGTTTAACTCTTTAAATATGTAGGTACGAGTATATATTATCTATACATCCATGAAATACATATTCTCCATATGACATACACAATACGTTTTCGCGGCACAAATGCATCGAATAGTTCTAAAACAAATCCCAAAACAGTCCAAAACAGATCTGGCGGAACTTTGTAGACGCTGCCAGCTTCCAGATTGCGGATAGTTGAAGTAGGTTCGTGGAGGAGCATCCGCAAAGCGATAATTATGAACGCGACGCGAAGGGCCCATCGGGAAGATGCCCGAGATGCTCCATTGTGCATCTAATATCGAGCGGCAATGCGTGACGCTGAAAGGGATAATAAATAAGGGAGCGGAACGTGCGGACTATAGAAAGACAGTTTCTGGCCAATCGGGAATTTTCACTTATCGACCGCTTAACGAAGGGTGAATGGAAAGGGACGGCCCATTCAGAGGCGGGCAAACGAAAGAATAAATTGAGTTAAATTAAACGAGACCCTTCTTTCCGCGGCTTTTCTCAAGAACGAACGGCGACGTCGTCGATGAAGCGATACCGCAATGCAAATTCTCGATCTTATTTAGAAATTTTTCATTTAATCTGAGACGTACTGCTTTCGCCGTAAATGCAGCGTATCTTCCATCAACTTTCTAAATCTCTCTCCTTTCCTTTGAAAGGGAATTCGCTCGAGAAGATCACATTGAATAAATGTAATTAATTTTATAAATTTTAACAAAATTATATATATACAATCTTTATTTATTTATATAAATAGTAATTAACTCGAAAACTACGGATATAAGTGCGCGATATTTTTTGTTGGAATGTTTTACAAGTCGATATTCGTCTAGAAATGACTCCCGCCGCAACGATTTTGGGAAGCGACAGATGGAAGAACTCTACAATACATCCCATCCTCAACTCTCGCATTTGTGCGTCCCGATGAATTTAGCGCCGCGTCTGTTGGTACATAGCCGAGTTCTTCCGCTTATGTTTTGCATTACCGGTGACGCCATCGAATCGCGACAAAACTCGCCTCAAACGTCTCGTTACGATAGGCAAAGCCGCTTTTGCGAGACAATCGGAAAAATGAGACTGGGAAAAACGATGGAAAAAGAGAGAAGTAAAAAAGAGACACAAAAAAAGGAAAATGAACGGAAAGAAGAAAATTCAACAATAATGCTAGAAAAATAATAGTCTTAAAAATAAATTGTAACCTATAACAAATGTATAAAATTAGAGTAAAAATGCTTAAAGTATAGTAAGGAGATAATTAAATAACTGTAAATAATTTATAAACATTACATTAAAATTCAAAGGTTCACGTTCTAAGAAATTTTTCTCGAGAAGTCTCGACATTTTTTAACAATGAAAATTCACTTACAAGAGATATTATTTTATTCTTCAATATTGAATGAGTTTCAATATATATATGCTGAATATTGATAAATAAAATTTAATTATGTTCATAGAGAGAAAGGGAGGGAGATCTCAATTTAATTCCAAAATATCTAATTCAAAAGCTAGACATCATCTATTATACTAAGAGCAATCAATATTTTTGTTAAAGATAAATTTTCTATAAGGTATTAAAAACTTATACTGCTACTTCAAAGATAATATAACAAGAGCGATTTATATATAAGAGAAAAGATATAATTAAATATGAATGCGCTTGCTACACTGCAGTAGAACATGAATAGTGAAAAAAAGAAGGAAAAGGATTGGATAAAACGGAGTCAAAAAGAGATAGAGAGAGAAAAAAGGAGCCTAGGGATACAAAACGAGAAAAATGAAACGCTGAAACTCGGGAACGACTTTTCCGTCGAGAGTCGCCTTTGCGAATATTTCTTTAGCCGGGCAGAGTTACGTGCGGGTGGTGGCTGTTTGGGTGACGAGATTTGTAGAGTGTCTGTTTGCTTGTTTGGCCGTTTACTTTGGCCACTCGTGAAGAAGGAAAGTGCGTTTACAGGCGCGCAAGCGGAGCTTGCCAGGACCAAGGGGATACGATCTTTTTCCCCAATGCAAGGTATTAAACGTGTTGTTCGTAAAATATATATATATATATATATGTATATATACACACAAGTGCAGGCATACGTTGATTTATTCGCTCTATCGAATATTTAGATGTCTTTACGTTATCTTTATACGTTTTTTTATTTGCATTTTAAGAGATTTGGTTTTATTCTTTGCAACAATTCCATTATAAATAAAGTAAGCTAAGCAGTTGGCTATAGAGATATTTTTAGCAAACAGAAAAATGCAATAAATTTATATCAATGTTTTTATTTAACATTTTAATTTTTGACTGTCATTACGC